TGAAGGTTACGGACAACCTGCCTCCCCGCAACCGTTCTGACTGGCAAGCTGCTCAGCAATCGGGAACAAGCAAAAGCGAGCCTTGCCCCAAACTCTCAACCCTACACATCCTCAACGGGGAAGGAAGAGGCAAGAAAGCTCCACCAACTTTTCTTACTTGTTGCCATCTTGGTGCCATCTGCGGGATCCAAGTTCGGTCCGGTGCCGAACATTCCCTGACTCCACACTGTCTGTGTGCCTTTAACATGTTTGTCAAGTACACTTGTGGCTGCATCACCAAGACTTCTCCCACGCCCAGGATCCGCAAACCATCCGTGCAGGAACAAATCTTGCTTGACATGATGGCCATGGCCAGTTGAAAGTTTGTAACGGGACGATCACAACGGATCAGGTTCTGGCTGTAGGCAGAAAACAAGGAGGCCACCGGCAGCTGCAACTTGTGTGCAGCACGACAAAACTCTCAAAACGGCTTAGGATGGTGGGTGACTGTCGACCCTTTCCAGAACGGTTGCCTGGACTTTGCCTTATGCTCCCAACCCGTATGACCAGCATCTCTTTCAACATGCAAGACTCAAACCAAAATGGCAAAACATACTGCATCAGGATCATCTGGGTCCGGCAATAACCAAATCTTGGCCACGCTCTCCAGCAAGTTCCGCCCCTGCTACTTGTAGAAAGTGAGTGGGCTGCACCAGCAAGTCTTGGGTGGAGAGTCAAAATGGCGCGCAGTTGGCTGATGCTTCGGCACCTGCAGTTGGCTGCGGTGCCCTTGAACTACGTGATCCGAAAAAATTGACCTGGACGACCCGCACGCTGTGAACCCCGTTAACCTTCCCTGGACTGTTTCTATGCACAAAATCTCTAAATCCCGAATCCCTAAAACTCCAAGCCCCACGACCACAGATCCACGTAGGGTTTACAAGTCTTGGGGTTTAACGGGTTTAGGGCTTAGGGTTGAAGCGCTGGCAGCGTTGCTTGTAGTCAACTGGGCTATTGCAGGTTGGATCACAGCAATTCCTTCGTGCTCACGGCAGCACTGAAGGCAACTCAAATTTCAAATGCTGAAGCTGAGCATCCTGAATAGTCCCGGGTGCTGAGAATCAGACCTTGCAGTGGTTTTCCTGCCACTTGCCTGGCATCAGGGCAGGTTGCTAAGACGCTTCCATCAAGACTTGGGTGGAGATTGATGCTCGGCTGTGCTTATAGCAGCTTCTATCAAGCCCTTAAAGCGCACCCCTCCTGCAACCAATCAGACGCAAGACGTTCTAATGCGGGTTCTCCAGGTTGGCTGTGTGAAGGCATTGGAGGTTAAGGTTGGCGCCCCAAATCCTGATGGCAAGTGCTACAAGCCTCAGGCCATGTTATGAGTCTTTTTCTTGGACCTTGGCTTTGATGTGCACCCCCCCCGCCCGAGCAGTCGAAGCGACAGGGACGAGAAAACACACAAGAAGAACGGACTGCAAACAAAAGCCCAGATGTCCAAACCCTGTCAGGCCTTGCTCCTTTAAAATCCTCAACCTGACCCGGCGCAGCGAAGCGCAAGAGTCATAGCAAGCGCAAACCCCGCGAACAAAACGAGAAAACAAAGACAAAAAGACACAAACAGTGCTTCAGGCAATTCAACAACCTCCCAAATCAGCAGCACTTCGCCTCGACTGGCATGGACATTCAACCCTCCAATGCATTCAAGCGCTCGAGCCTTAGAGTGCCTGATGTAAGACCCCTGCTAACATTGCTAATAGTACAAGTACTCATATTCTAATTCGTAACATGTCGATGTCTAGTCTTACCGGTATGTTTCTTGATACTAACTTCTTCCATATTATGGTAGCGATCGCTATTTTATGTTTGTGTTGTCCATGCCAAGCCCTGGGATGCTCCGGGCCAAAGGAGCCCTAGAACCTCAATTCCCCTCAAAACCCTAAAACGCCTCTAAGCCCGAAACCCTGAAAAAACCTTATAAGCCCTCAAAAACCTTAAGGCCCCAAGCCCTGAGCCCTAAAAACCCGACGACCCTTAAAGGCCCCAAAGTCCCTTTTTTCCCCTTCATGAGCCCTAGAAGCCCAAAGCAAACCTTTTTGCCCTGTAACACCCTACAAGCCCTACAAACCCTGTAAGCCCTTAAAGCCCTCAAACAAAATCCCTATAAACCCTATTCACCGGCGACGTCCGCCTCCACCCCCGCTCTGGGGCTCGGCAGCGGCTCGGCCCGTTGCCATGCTTTGGGCTTAGGGGTTTTAGTGCTTCGGGTTTCGGGCTTATAGGGTTTAGGGCTCAGGGCTGTTTAGCGCTGCTAAACCCTGTTTGGGGTGTTTAGGGTTTGGTAGGGATTAGAACTTATGGTTGGGCCCTGCTTGGCGTTTAGGGTCTGTAGGGCTTAGAGTTGAACAGTGGTTGAACCCTGCTTGGGATGTTTAGGGTTCAGGGCTCAAGTTTTGTAGGGTTTAGCTTGAACCTCTGCTTGGGGGTGTTTAGGGTTTAGGGTTTCTAGGGTTTAGGGTTTCTAGGGTCAGGGTTGATAGGGTTTAGGCTTCAGGATAGGGTGTTCATGGAACGCTCAGTGAGAAGTGACAAGCTTCTCATGGGTTTGAGGGACTGGGCGCTGAAGGTGTCAGGGCTTTAAGGTTTCCTTGAACCCTGAGCCCTAAACCCTAAACCCTAAACCCTAAACCCTAAACTGACTTGATCCACGGAGCTGACTTCACCCAAAGATGCCTCTGGGCTCACAGTGCAGGTTCATGTTTTGAGGTCTGCTGTTTCGAGCGCTAAGGGGTTCAAAGTTCGAGGCTTTATCGAGTTTGAGAGCTTAGTGTTCAAGGTTGCAAGTAGACATGCGAAAATACACAATAGTCCATTACTGGCACCAGATTGTTGCTTAACGATATCTGCTTTTTGAACATGATGGTTCCCCCGCTCCACTGTGTCTCTTCTCGAAGTGGGGCTGTGAGGGGGGGGGGGGGGGGTTGGAAGTGGAATCGGCATTTGATTGAGTTTGGGGCTGCGGTTGGAGGTTGTGTGCATCAGAACTTGAAACGCAAACCTAGACAGGGAGCTGACACGTAAATTTTGGCCCCACCCAGAATGCTGACACAAGACCTCTTCTCATCTTCGATTTCCTAGCATCCTGAAATTCAAAGGCTGACAGATATCAATCCCAACTGCTACAGAACAACAAAGGGCTTGGAAGAATCGAGAGTGGACTCTCGCGCGTACCCTTTTCTTTGGTGAAGCGATTCTAGGCTGCCCCAAGGCAGCAGGGAAGATGCCTGAGCCTTGCCCATGTTAAGCAGGCACAGATATCTCACAGCTTTAACGAATTTGAAGCCGAGTCAAGTAGCCGTGCACCCGTGTCAATGCACTTCCAAACGTTGACTCGCAACTTTGCCATTTGTTGGGGGATGCGATCCCCCAGTGCACGGCGTTGTCGCCGGATTGGGCCAAGGGAGTGCCATCCACCAGATAGCCCTAAACCCTGAACCCTACACACTGCATAGGCTGAAGCTGGCAAGGCGCTCTCCGGCATGTGAGGATCGGGACTAGGTTTTTTCGGATGTTGGCATTCCCTGCCCTGTTCAAAGGGGTCCTGATGGCTTGTACTGAACAGTCCATTGTGATTTCACCTCCTTGCTGCTCCGCAGCAACCGCATAGTAGCTGGTACCAGGATGACACCTCCGGCGTGTGGGTCGCAGTGACGGCTGCAGCCATTGAGGATGGAAACTAAGTGTTCAGTTTTGTACGTAGGGTTTTGGTCTTCAATCTATTTCAAGCCGTTTGAGGGTTGAGGTACGATTGGTGCAAACATATGCTGCGCCTGAAGAGGTTGCTGTCTTAAACGTGGTCAATGAGGGCATGGCTTAACCAATCATTGTGCCAAACCAATTGGGGCAAAGGGTTGATGCGGGAATATGCTTGGCGCAGCCTTACCGCATAGGGTTTCGGAGTTTGAGTTTCGGCTGCAGCGGCCGGCTCAACAAGGGTCTTTTAAACCTTCAGCGAGAAGTCGTGAAGGAGCAACATGAGTAACTACACCTGAGCTCCACACTGTACGCCCTGGGCCGACTGTGTGGGATATTCTTCTGGCTTACAACCGTAAAACCACAATACCAATCATAGTTCAAAATGTTCACCCCCTGGGGCTGATGCGCACAAAAATCCCTGAACCCTAAACAAAACCCTAAAACCTAAGCCCTGCCGCCCCAAGGTCCAGGCTGGTGTTGCTGGGACCTTCGGCGGCTGCGCCTGGGACATCGGAACGACACTCCTCTTGGTGCGGGGTCGAAACTCGACATGTGGAGGTTCGTGGATAGAAAGGTTGCCGCTTCACTTAAACCTGCTTCTAGCAGACTTGCGAGTCTACTAATAAGCAAGTCTAGTAAGCTATGAAGCCTGAGAAATGTCTTGAGGCACGGCTGACTTATAGGCAACTTGCATTCTTTAACAACGCTGGCGCCCTCAAGTCCTAAGACCCCGTAGCCCCTACATGAAGAAGTTAGCTAAAGGTTTTCTGTCACCCAAAAGAACCCGAAACACAAACAAACTTCAAGCCCCAAAACGGCGAATGAGTTCGGCTGACAAGAGCTCAACTTCACGAAGGCCGACACCGCAAACCACCCCGAAAACCCAGAAAGCCCAGCTGCCGGAAACGGCCTTGAAGCCTGCTTATTGTTTAGGGCTAGGGGCTTGAAACCGTAGGTTTTAAGGTTTGGGTTCAAGGCTGCAGGTTGAAAAGGCAAGCGAAACAATGCTTTGTTGTTTGACTGCGTCTTGAGGGGGAATAGGCACTCTGGGGCTGCGGTTGGAGGTTTGATTCTTGCATGCTCACGACAACGAATGTCAGGACTCTCAACCTGAAGCCTGAGCAGAATCCGGCTACAGACTGCCCCTTAATGAGCTGACACTATTAAATCGCCATCCCCTGATTTCCCGCGGCGCCACGTAGTCTTGCGGCGTGTCCGCTGTGGTTGGCTGTGGCGCAAACGTGGCCCCGGCGGCGGGCTGTGGCGCGTGCTCGAAGGCAGCGGGCTGGCGTGGTGCCAAGTGCTCTGGTGGGGCTGCGCCTGAAGCTGACGGTGGTGCCTGAGGAAACGTGTTCAGAACTCCTTGATCTATGAAAGAACCCTGGCAGATCCACAAGGTCTCAAACCGGAAACCCAGTGACCAAGCCTGAAACCTGCAACAGCACTTGAGACCCTGGATCCTTTCCCTAAGCTCTACAAGTCCGACGAACACCATGGCTGATTTGTCAGGCATGGTCATTTTAGGTTTGCTTGGGCATCTCGCCTCGGGCATTGGCCATCTGTCGCGACAGGGGCATTTTCCTCACTACTTCGGGTGGGTACTTGAGGACTCGATGTGAACTCCGGACCCTTTGCTCCAAACCAGGTAAGGCCCATGAGCCCGCCATGAGCACACATTCCTGAAAGCAAGTGCTACACACCTAGTGGCCATGTGTTGGGTTTGAAGGTCCAGGCCGTGTATGCTTGAGGATTCGAGGACTCACCGGCTTTAGGATTTACATGGCCTTTGTTGGATCAAGACTGCAATTTGGACGAACAAGCTAGGAACCAGACATATGTTGCAAAACGGGTGAAAGGTCTGGCCACAAGCAATTCTGCCCGTGTCTGGGCTTTGGCTTTTGGATATTTTCGGCAGGCTTAAGAGGCCCGTCATTCAACATTTGGAGGACGGCAGGACGAAATCTATCCTTCCCACGCTCATTGCTGTGCCAGCCGAGGCTACACATGCCAACTGAGGCGCTCTCTCTGCTATTCAGGGCCGTTTCGAAGCTTTCAGCCATTTTGCGGGTTCTCTTTCAGTAGTCGCATCAAGGGTGTCATGGCGAGCACTCCTTGCAAGGCTCAACGTGCTCTCGCCGCAGGATGCAATGCTTAGCGTGGCCCATATGGAGAAATTACAACTCAGGCACGTTGAAAGAAAGCACTGAAGCTTCAACCCACATTTGGACTGATGCTGCCCTAAACCCTAAAGCAAAAAAACCGAAACCGCTACAGCTTAAACCTCCAAACCCCAAGGCCCCATAAACCCCAAACGCCCCAACTGAACCCTCAAGCCCTTAAACCTCTAGAGACCTCTGATCTCGTATTCAAACCCACAGACCCCCTTAACCTAACCCAAAGCCTTGTAGAAATCTTTCCTAGGCCTTGGCGTTGAGAAAATTCTGGTTCAGGTTTTAGGGGTTTCGGGTCGAGGGTCGGTAGGATTCAGGGCTCAGAGCTGAGGAATTCCCACCCCAAAGCTCGAGACCCTCCCAAATGAAACCAAGAACATGATAGGCATATCACATGATCAAACTCTACAAGCCACGCTAGGTACTATGTGCTCTGGCTGCCTCAGCCGGGCAAGCTTCACGGCCCGCCGGCTCCGAGATGTTTTCGGCAGCCACGGCCTGCGCCTACGTTGGGATGTTTGAAAGCTTCGGACCTTGGGGGCTTAGGGCTTTGCGCTCAGCATCTCAAGCCCAAGCATTCACCAAGCCAGGCATTCTAGTCTCGTAACGGAAAAGCTCCCACCCACCCAGAGAATCCCACAAAGTAGGAAATTTGAATTCCACATTGCTCTTTTCATGCGACAATCAGTAACCCTTTACCCTAGAACCTTAAACTCTACATAGGCCAACCGAAACTCCGGCGATGAGTTAACTCTTAGTGGTGATATTGGTGGTGATTGCCCGACGCTAGCACCGCATTACAAAACAAACAGCATGTTGCTTAAAGGCGACTTTGGTGATCAGACGGTCTCATGCAAGCACGGCGACGGGATAAACATTACGTTAGCGCTGATTTTGGTCTTTCGCTTGTCCGACGCAAACACGGCAGCAAACACTTTGTCAGAGGTGGCTTTGATGATCTGGTTGTCTGACACAAGAACGGCGATTATATGAGAGAGAAAAAAAAACCGGGGTCAGGGGTCTAGCTTTCAGGGGTTGGGGCTTCAAGGCCTAGGGGTTGAGGGGTTTGGGGAGTGTGGGCCTGGGGAAAGGTTGTGGGATAGAGCCACGCATGTATTGACGTGGTCCGCTCGTTAGGGCTGTTGTTTAGGGACTTCTTGGGTCCTTACGATAACACGGTCTCCTATATTTAAAGTTAGACGTTTGCTCAGGGTACGAAAACACAGGATTCATTGGAACACCGCCCACGCAACGGAAGGCCCCGAACCTCAACGCATGCAAGCTGAACCTTAAACCCAAACACTTCAAGACCTAAAGCCTCAACCCTAACCCCGAACCCGTAAACCCTAAACCCTACACCCCGAGTTCCCCTACACCCTGAACCCTGCGAGCTCTCAAGCCCGAAAACAGCTGCAGGAGCCGGGAGTTCCCCTTACATAAAAATAAATGCCCCAACATTGTTAGCAGGGATTTTGGTCATCTGATTGTCTGATGAAGGCACAGCGATGACGAAAGCAACTTTTGCTCATGGTGATTGTGGTGATCTGCCAGCGCCTGAACCCTAGAGCCAGCCTAGAGCCCAAGGCCCAGTAGGCTGAAGGCCCTGCACGCGAAACCCTAGGCTCTGAACCCTAAACCCGAGGCCCTGAACCTGAAACCCTAGGCCGTGAACCCTAAACCCATGTGTTCTGAGCATTCTCATCGGATTGACAACCGAGGCCGCTGCGGCGGCCGAGCGCATGAGCTGCGGCGCCTGCCAGCTGTCGGTGTTGGGGCGGTTCAGGACCCCGGGAGCTTAGGAGAGTTGAGTTCAGGGTACTTATGAGTGGTGTTGGGGCCGTTGGGGCTTGTCTTAAAAGGGCGCAAGCCCTTTCGGCGGCTCAGGACTTTGGGGGCTTAGGAGTGTTGAGTTCAGGGTATGAGTTGTGGAGTTCGGGGGCAAAAAAGCCAGCAGGCAAGACAACGCTGCAGTCACGCTTGCGCCGCAACATCTCATACTCTCTCTCTCTCTCTCTCTCTCTCGCTCTCTCTCTCGCTCTCTCTCTCGCTCTCTCGCTCGTGCGTGCCTGATTTCTGAAATACATGGCGGCTGCTGAAGCTTTGGCCGCCTAGCAGGCACAAAGCTTTCTGCAGAACGTGCCTGGGTTCGGATTCAGAACTTACATGGCAGTCTTCACAGCGGCATTTCCCAAGTGGATTGCAGCAGCATGAACACCACAAGTGAACTCTTGTCTGCGTGGGCACCTTCAATTGTTTCGCCTTTCGTCCCATTGCGAAGGTCAAGGATGCACACTGCTGAAATGCAGATACGATGGCAGTCTTGAGCAGGCGCACACCCAGAACGCGGAAATCTCTCCTCCAACATGAATCCGCTCACACAGTGATGCACACTCATGTTCACATCCCATGAATAACCTCGCTTCATTGATTCAATCTCTCTGTCAGGGGGCCGAGAAGATGTTTGTAGAAGCTTTGGGCTTTGAAGGGGCTGCGTGTTGCTTGCGGGGCCTGTTTCAAACCCTGATAATCAAACGCCGTCCCTCGGGATTCTTTCATTGGCGGTTGGTCAGTTCGTTCCGCGAGTTTTGATGTTAATCCCCGGCATATAAAGGCCAAGTTCAACTTCTTGGAGCTGTAAAGCTCAAAAATGTTGAGTTCGCTGCTTACTCCACGCTGCTACCGTACAGTGAAGGGTGAGATCTGCGGGAAATCTGCAATGTAGCAACATAAATTACATAAATAACTGACAAACCGCGAAGTGTGCTCAAATGCAAGTTAAGTGCCACCTCCAGGAGTTCGAGCACATGCTAACGGACTGTAGGTGTGCAAGGGGGAGGCGAGGGATTTTCCAAGTTCAGACCTGACGGCCAAACCCTCAACCCAAAACCCGAAGCCCTGAACCCCCAAAACCCTAAACTTAACCTTCTTTGATGGGGCCAAGGATTCAAGAGCTGCCAATGTCGGCCTAGAAAGAAGCGATTTTGTCCTCTGACTATGGCCGCTGCAACCGAAAATCGATCATCGCCGTGCTAGGGCATTGAAAGTCGGCGAGCCTCCTGTGTGATCTTCGATCTACTTGGCATCATCGCGTGATCCTAACCAGTGATAGTTATATAAATTATATAAAGATAATGAAATTATGAAATGGGAGAAAAGTTTGGGGGACTCAGGCTGAAAGCTTATGGGTTGAGTTGGCCTCTACATCTTGCTCAAGCGTTTTCATCTTGCCCCGTCTGTGTTGAATTGAAACCGAGTCAAGTAGCCGCGCACCCCGCTTCAACGCATTTCCAAGCGTTGACTTGCAACTTTGCCCCCCTGCTGCGGCCTGGTTGAAAAAGAATGCCATCCGCCCGATAGCCCGCGCATCTGAAGCCGGCGTGGAGAGCTTGGGCATGCGAGGATCAGACCTAATGGTTTCCGAATGGCTGATGGCATTCCCTGCCATCCGACAAGCACATCGCGATACGCGCAAACAAACAAACAAGAGGCAGGGCGGTGCGAGGTCAAACGAGCAGAACCAAGCCACCAAGAACACAGCCCCATGAAATTTCGACTAGTCCCTAAACCACAAACCCTGACCCTAAACCCTACACCCTCCTTGTCGTTTCAGCCAGCTACCCCCGGCTACCGCCCTGCTACTCCACAGCAGCCGCACCGCGCTGAAGCAGCTGGTCCAAGGCCCAGGACCCCTGCAGCGTTGCCTGTCTGATGTGGATTTAGGGCTACATAGGGCATCGAAGTTTAGGCACTTAGGCTCTTGGTCTTCACACTGTTTGAGGGTTGAGGCACGAATGGCGCAGAGATCTGATCTGCGGCTCCTAAAGATGCTGTTGTGTGGGCTGATGGGTCTGTTTGCGTTTGGGCCGCCGGGCTAGCAGGCTGGGTGATTTGGGGGTGATCTTAGCTACAAGCCCTAACAAACAAGGGTCTTCAAAAGCCCTCAGCGGTAGGTCGGCCGGCCATGAGCAACCACGCGCAAGCCCCAAACTGTTAAGATGTGTGGCCTCGGCCGACAATGTCGGATCTGATTCGACACAGTCGCATCGTGGGCCCGCAAAAAAACGCAGCTGCGCACGACCCTGGACGCACACCCCTAGATGTTCTTTCTGAATACTTCTACACACCCTTCGAACGACCACCCAGATTTCTGCCTTTCCTGGAGTGTTTCTGTGCACAACAACCTTAAACCCTAAACCCCCCAAACCCTAAAGCCCTAAACTCTACCAAGGACACGGGAGCTCTAAGGTCCAGGCTGCAACTGCCGCGCATGCTGAGTTTCGTCCGCTCTGCGCCTGAGAGGTGGGTCGACTTGGGAGGTTCACAGATCCACGTAGGGTGCATTTCTAGGGTGTCTTGGGTTTAGGGTTTCCTCCCCACCAGTCGCTTTCACCATTTTCAACGGTGATCATGGCCTTTCGAAGCCATGTTCGTGCATTTTGAGGGCATGAGTGACTGTCATTCCTAGACTTCCCATGACTTGGCCAGCTTAACCTGCACTTTCGCCACTGCTGCTATTGGGCTACCTGATCTGCTTCTCCGACGCATTTCAGTAAATTTGTTGCGTCACTCTCTATGGTACACAGTTGTTTCCGGATGATTGTCCTTTTTAAGGGTTTGTGTTTAGGGTTAAGGCCTTACGCGGTAAGGCTTGAGGCTGAGGGCCTTGGGCTCCAGGAATCTTACAGGCTGGAAAGCTTAAAGGCTTGAGGCCCCGAGGCGGTTCCCTTTCCCCCACCCCCGACCAGTTGGCGGACTGAGCCACCGACCGAGCCAAAGCCACCGAACTTGGCCACCACCTTTATCCCCCGCTAGGGACCCCTGTAGACCCTCTTAGGGACCCACTGTGAAATTTCTTGGGGCCCGCTATAGACCTCTTCGACCCCTCCTTGCGAGACCCTCTGCGGTCCAGCCGGGCCGCAGTGGTCCATTCAAGGGTTTAGGGTTTAGGGTTTAGGGTTTAGGGTTTAGGGTTTAGGGTTTAGGGTTTAGGGTTTAGGGTTTAGGGCTTAGGGTTTAGGGTTATACATTGTTCGAAAAGCGCTACAAGTCGGGCTTGCCAAACCCCACACTGAGCGCCAGGCTAGGTGCCTGCAGTCGTCTTCGTGGCAGGATAATCGAATTCGTGAGCGGCATGGGGCCCGAGGAATTCGTGATCCGATGACTGTGACATGTGTGTCGGCTGCAAGGGTTGTACACTTGCACGAATTGAAAGATCCATGGGGGACTTACGGCTGACACGGGAGACTCGCACGAGGCCAGGTTTCTGAAACAGACGAGAGCTTGTCTTCCGCTTGCATTGAGGCGCGTAAGAGCCTTGAACATAGATCGACTTCGTACCTCTCATACCTGACGCGGCTACTGCATGGTGGAATGAAGTCACAGGCATGTCCCTGTTCTTAGTCTCATCAAAGTGGGATCTGGTTTACACGCATTGAGCTTGGGCCCCTTGAGAGACCGGAGATGCTTCGGCATGCTTCTTAACCCAGGGTAGTATACTACAATATTCCCATGACTAACCCAAGAAAGGAACTACATTAGGAGCCTTCAGGTAAGCTGCAAATAGCTCGAAAAAAAAACATGGCGTTCCTTTGCCGCATGGACCCCTCAATCGCAAAGCACGCCTGAGGAACCCTGAAGGGTACGCCTCCTTGGTAACCGTTCTGACTGTCAAGTTACAATCGGGAACAAGGACAGCGACTTCCTGTCGGGAACAAGGACAGCGACCCCACACATCTGCTACTTTACCAAAACACTTGCCCCTCCTAAAAACCCTGATCGAAGTCCTGTATCATCACCAAGTCGAGAAGGCTCCACACACTTTTCTTGCTTGGTGCCATCTGTGGGATCCAAGTTCGGTCCGGTGCCGGAAAATACCGGGGCGCTAGGCAATCAAGATTCCTTGGCCCCACACACCGTCTGTGTGCCCCTAACACTTTTGTCAGGTACACTTGTGGCTGCATCACCAAGACTTCTCCCACACCCAGGATCCGCAAACCATCCGTGCAGGAACAGATCTTGCTTGGCATGGCCAGTTGAGAGCTTGTAGCAGGAGGATCACAACGGATCAGGTTACGGCTGTAGGCAGAAAACAAGGAAGCCACCGGCAGCTGCAACTTGTGTGCAGCACGACAAAAAGTTAAAAGCGGCTTGTAACCAGGATTGTGGGTAACTGTCGACCCTTTCCAGAACGATTGCCCGGACTTTGCCTTATGCTCCCAACCCCTATGACCAGCATCTCTTTCAACATGTAATTTGGCCTGTCAGCAACTTGGCATTGAGAAACACGCGCGTGGTCAACAGTAGGTGCTTCAACTGTCAAACACCTCGGCACGCTGATGGAGTGTTCTGGGACTCTCCTACTACCACTCATCTACCATTCGCCGCTCGTGTCCCAATGCGACTGACTAGCCCCCCCGTTTTCGCCCAAACAGCTAAGAGGAGCTTTTTCAAATGATTGAGAGTCATTGGGGCAAATAAGAAGGGGGGTTTCTGGGCCGGGTGGCGTTTGGAGGTCAGAAAAGTTAGACTCGTCTCAGTGGCTGCGAAGATGCAACTCCCGACACAAGGTTGCCAGATTGTATGGCACGCAAATGAAGGCGACTAGAATCTGATTACCTGGTCCGGGTTGGAACAGAGTCCGGCGCCTGCGTATTGCTCGTCATGGCACGGAATCGGTGCACCTGCAGAGCAAGATTAAACGAACCAAGGGATCCTGGAGTAAGCGTATCAAACTTGCAGCGTTATTGGGTAAGCTTCATCCGAAGCAGTGCTTTTCGAGTACATACCATGGCCGCCCCATCATCTCACCTCATTGGGCCTGTTTGAAGATGGTTCAGGCTGCCTTGTCCCCTGTTCAGGGTTCTTGTTCGCTTGTTTAGGGTTTAGTTTCCCTTGCTTAGAGGATCCCCCTAATTGTAGACTTCTTCTTAAGCAGATTCGAGGGCAGCCGTTTTGCTTCCCAGCCCCGGACACGCGACTACATATAGCCGGGGTCCGAGTTTGTGGCTGGCGTGACTAATAAGACAAAGTTGGGCCTTGTCAAGACTCGCGTCTGCCTCAGGCCATATCTTGGAGCTCTGCGGAAAAGAGAAGAAATAGAACTCTGCAGTTGAGGTACCCCTGCCGTATGTGGATGGTACTAGAAGAGCCCGTAGAAGAGGGCCTTGCAGATCTCATAATACCACTAAAGAGGTTTTCCTATGGGGTTTGCATGGTTAAGTACTTAGACCCGACATTACACTTTTCACAACAGGAAAATGAAAACCAGGAAGCCGGGCCAACCCTGCCTAGGGGCCCTCCACCCACGCCCCTTACGGGATTGTTCTTGGCTGGAAACCCAACGAAGCCGAGAAGGGCGTAGCCAGCTTTTGCCTGTATTCAGCTTGTACAGCCACGGTGCCTGCGGGTGATCACGACCTCCGCCGGTCCAGTTGCCGTAGCCTTTGAGGGGCTATGCAATTTCCACAAGATATTCTTGACAACGGAATGGCAACTCCCATGCAACAGATTCTTCCTCTGTGAGAATGAAAAAGCATCCTGACAAATCTTCTGCTCGATCCCTTATAATCCTCCGTTACATCAAAAACAAGTTGCTAAGCTCCCTGACAAGAACAAGGAAACAAGGAAACAAGGAAACAAGGAAACAAGGAAACAAGGAAACAAGGAAACAAGGAAACAAGGAAACAAGGAAACAAGGAAACAAGGAAACAAGGAAACAAGGAAACAAGGACACAAGGACCCAAGGACACAAGGAAACAAGGAAACAAGGAAACAAGGAAACAAGGAAACAAGGAAACAAGGAAACAAGGAAACAAGGAAACAAGGACACAAGGACACAAGGACACAAGGAAACAAGGAAACAAGGACACAAGGAAACAAGGACACAAGGACACAAGGAAACAAGGAAACAAGGAAGCAAGGCAACAAGGCAACAAGGCAAGATCTGAAGCTGCATACAGATGGCAGGCGGAGCAGAGGTCGAAGTCGCAGCAGTCGCGGCATTTGTAGCGGGTGCCAACAAGAGGAGCCTCAAGAAGCAACAGACAACGCCCTGGAGTTGTTTCATGGCTTCTCTCTCGACCTCCCTTGCAAAGCGAGGCAATACCGACTGTTTTGCCCGAAATTCTTACCGAAAGAATTCTCCTTGTTTCGCCACCCGCCAAGCTGAGAGTTGGGGTTCCAGGGTCCAGGAGGTTCCCTGACATCGTTGCATTGCAAGCATTGCGTGGAGGAGAGGCAATTTCACACAAGGCGAACGAGGACTCACGCACTTCGCGCGCTTAGAGAGCGGCGGAGGGGCCAACCAGGATCTGGCCGCAGAGTTTGCTGATTTCCTGATGTTCGCGCTGTGCTGTCCCGGCTAGGCTCAGGATGCTCGATGGCGAGCGCCTCTTGGTGCGACGGGCCCCCCCCCAGCTGATCCTCATGATGCTCGCATTTGAGCAGCTCAAACCTTGTTTGAGCAGGTCCGAACACAGAGCGTATGCATGTCTTGTTTTGAGCGCCGCTAGAGGCATCTAGGAGGCAGGGGCCCCGAGCACACATCCAGGGCACGTGACCCCAGGCTTCGATGGATCCAAAGGACTCGTGATAAAAAAAAAATCGTCACTGTCCGACAGTGAGGAGTTGGAGTGCGGGGCTGAGTCGCCGATGGAGCACACCTTGATCCCTATGAGCGCTGACGGAAGCACACCCGAATGGTCCGAAGCCGAAGCGTGCGTCTTCCCTGGACAGCCTTCTGAAGAAGTGAGCGTCGCATCTTCGGACGGGCTTCGCAAATTTCATGGGATCGATGCTTTGCTCACAGATGCAGGCGGTCCGCTTTTGGTGTTAGATCTTTCCTGCGAGATTGTGTGGAATGGACAAAGCCCAATCGTGCACAGAGCATACCAGACGGAGCGCGCGATAGTCCATGATATCTTCCATGGTCTTCTCGTAAGGCCATGGCTGAGAAGACCTCTACGGGACAACCAAGCCAGGCTGTGCCCAAGGCGCCCCTGGGCACCAACAGCTCAGGGATCCACCGTGCCATCGCACCCAGGACTTTCATCGCCCTAGTGGCGAAGGCGCCCTCGACCCGTCCAACAATGGACAACGCACGCGCATAGATGGTGGACCAACCTTTGCACCACCCATGAGGCCGGGACCCCGGGTGCACATTCAGGGCATCCGAATCCCACCCTTGGACAGTCTCACCCATGGGGGCTTTCACAACGTCAGGCCAAACAGCCGGTCCGGACATTCGCTCTTGCGTGCCACGCGGAAAAGAAACAGATGTCATTGGTACGACTGAAAACAGAAGTTTTGGGACGATGCGAGAGAGACGACAGCAACTTACAATTTTGCAATTTGCAAGCTCCATAAAGACAGAGAGAAGAGAAGGATAGAAACACAGAGAGATGGAGAATGATAGAGAGCTACATAGAAAGAGAGACAGAAAAAGAGAGAGAGAGAGAGAGCGAGAGAGCGAGAAAATAAAAGAGTGAGAAGGAGAGAGGGAGAGAGAGAGAGAAAGAGTGAGAGAAGGGGATGGAAAGTAATGAGTAAAACAGAGCGGAAGATAGAACATATCAGTTCGGATTTCGTGTCGCATATCGTGTTGGTTACATTCGCCGTGTGGTTATTCGCCGTGTAAGTGACGCATGTCTGCATTCGGGTTTGAGCCCCTGGGCAATGCACCGACTTCGCACTTTAACCTCCAAGGAGGACCCCTGCACAAAAACTCGCATAACTCGCTCAGCGTACGCAATAGAAACCAACTGCCCGACTCCATCCTTAGCACTGCGACTACCGACTTTCTCGTATGTATTATGCTGCCGAAAGCACTTCCAGAACAGCGATTTCAGGACTAAGCCCCAACTTCTGAAGAAAAGAACGTGTTGTCCTACAACAGCACCTCCTACCCGTACCAGTTCAAGCCCGATGAGTTTTGCGGACCTTTGCACATGTTGGCGCCGTTTTCACCGTGAAACTTCTAGCTCTGAAGGTGTCAGTCAATCTGCTCGGGGTCCCAAAGGTCGAGAGATCCAAAGGAGTGCCTCTAAGTGTACCCTTTAGGGCTTGGCAAAACAATCTGTGAGGATTGGTGAAAACCCGAGAAGGCCTGTGTGTTCGCAGATTCTTTTGGATATTGGGCTCAGTGGCAACCATGTAACAAAATGGCCAACAAACACATCCCAAAAACCCAGCTGAGAACCCAGAAGAGATTCTAGACAAAGAGGAAAAACCGTAGAACCCCCCCCCCCAGTGTCATTTCCGGAAAACCATGCTACAGATTTGTTGAAGATCTCCTTGTCTCCGAGCGATGGCTGGTCCCAACATGCCCCAGATCACCCCCCACTATCGAGGGAGTCGCAGGGCTCTTGGAAGCATCTAGAGGAACGCGTTTCCGGGCCTAAACCCTAAAGCCTAAACCCTAAACCCTAAACCCTACGAGAACCACGATAGGATCCGATTCCCATCCCGCTGAAGCTCTCCAGCCAGGGCTGCTGCTCTTTTTCCGCGTCAATCACCTACTGTAACATACGTACTCCAAAAGACCCCAATCTGGGAAATTACGATACTGGGGGTACCTTATTGAGGTCCATAAGGGGATGCTACAAATTCGTTCTATACTAAGGGCCGCTTATTATCGGAAACCCCCAATATACGTTCAGGTTCAAGGTTTTCAAGTTGGGGGATAGTCCCATGGCCCGCACTATGTGACATCCGTCACATGTGATGCCAGCGTTGATCGTCGAGCCACCTGCCTGGTTCAAGCTGGGCATCTTGACCCCCTGTCTACCCCATATCCATAGGGTTTCGGGTTTAGGGTTTGATTAGAAACAGGACCTTGGAATAGCATCCCCCCCCCCCCCCCCCCCCCCCACCAAAAAACCCCGAGCTCTGTCTGTCAAGGGCCACTTAGACGTCCCTTGGATCCATCCTAGAATCCCAAAACCTCATGATCAAGAAATCTCTCTGCCCCGTTTTCCCTGCTGCACCTCTGCATCGGTCGGCGGGAGGAAGCCTTGAAGGAGCTGTGCTGGCCACCACCAGGTGCTACCATCTGCCCTTGGACTGAAGGACTTCTTCTTACAAGCAAGCAACAACGTCGCTATTCTTCTGCTTTTCGCCAAGTAGGTGAACCAACGGTCAACTTGACCCACTGAGGGAGACCTGCCTTTCTTAAGACCTTTGCGGAAGGAATAATCCTTCAGACTAACTATGCTGATCAACATAAAGAGTTAGGGATAGACAGCAAACCACCGGCCCATCCAAGTATGGAAGCACACCCACGGGACCGTGTTGGGAGCGTGTCGTTTGGTGTCTTGGGCAGAAAGGCCCTTCCTTCCAAGTGACACCCGTCCTTCGTAACTGCCACATGTGCGTACGACTGCACAGGTGCGCCTTCCAAACGTAGGGAGTGGGGGGGGGTATCCCCAATACCCTGAGAATATATCCCTAAATGCACCCAATGTACTCTTAGGGTCTCCCCAAACCCTTCTAAACCCTAAAACCCTAAAACCCTAAATCCTTAACCCTAAACCCTAAACCCTAAACCCTAAACTGTGTGTATGTTGGGGGTGTTCTGGGCAGGGGAGTCCTTGCAACTGCCGAGCCCGGCGCATTTTGACTTTCAATCTCGTGGTCTTGTCAACGATCACCACTCCTCCCACACAGGCGCCACAACCCTGCAAATGCCTCGCATCAGATCTCATGAGCGAATAGCTATTTTGCAGACAGGTCCTTCTTGGCCTAAGCATTTCTCCATGGCTGGGTTCCAACCAACGTTGGACTTGACGATGCTCATGGCTTCCGCGGGGTCCACCTGCTTGATCTGCACGTTGTCCTGCCGGGATATTGGCAAGATGCGACACCTACTGCCAGAGCACAAGCTCCAATGGCTGCTGGAAAAACAGGAAGGACACTCATAACTGTCTTTAATGAGGCCCCACAACACAACCATCGAGTTTCTACCGCGCAGCCCAGCCTATGTTGTGGACTTCACTTGGAGTGAGTAGAGGGGCCCACCAAAACACAGTTCTTTTCACGACACTTCAGCGTGCACTAGGCCGAGGAGGTCACACACACAAGTTGGCTCCCTACCTGTCAAATGCATAACACCAGCTGCCTGCTCAAACACGTAAGAGTCAGACATACATAGCATTTCCAGAAAATTCCCTCACGCTCATTCTGTCGGGGATATGGTAGAGCTCCTTTTAACACCTAAGCCCAACTATCATCGTCTGTAAGGCCTAAAGCTGGATTTAATCCAATCTTCAGATTCATGATTTAATATGAGGACCTATGAAAATGGTGTTGTTTCGCTCGATGCGTAGTTCTCTCGTTGTGGGCCTTGGGTTTTGGAAGCTCCCATAGTCCAAATGCCTGAAATTTAAGGCCCACATTGAGACAACTTCAAGTCGAGACCACACATGTGTTTAGGGCTTAGAGTTTAGGGCCGGTTTGTTTTTACCCTGGAACAACTCCTGCGTAGTAGCTTGGCTCGCGGCTTCCATTCGGTCATGTTGCATCTGGGCTTCAAAATTGCCTGGGATGCTGTTGAAAAAACCACAATAAGGGCTTCCATTGCAAATCTGGGTAGCATACTTGACCCTAAGCCCTAAACCCCAAACGCTAAACCCCAACGCAACTGGCAGGCAGGCTGCTGCACTCCAGAGCTTCGCACGCATTGTGGAAGTGGACCTTTGCCTCCGCCAGAAGATGCGGGAAGGGCTGCTGCTCCAAGATTTCCAAGGCTCGTGCGGCCAGCCCCCTGTACTGATGAGGGTCGCCTAGCTGCGACCAGGTAGATCCCAAATTGAGAAGGGCTATTGCAACATTGACGTGATCGGAGTGCTCTTCAAAGATCTTGTGCGCCTTCAAAAGCATCTCCTTCTTTTTCTCAAGCTCGCCAAGCGCGCCCCAAGTGATGGATACATCAATCAGGACGCTGGCGAGCTCGCGGTGCCCTGTGCCGTAGTGCAGCTCCGTGGCCCTCAGTCGCTGCTCGAGCAAGGCCTTGCATCGGTCATGGTCGCCGGTCACTTGACACACCTGGGCAAGGTTCCGCAAGAGTGGAAGCACATCGGGGTGCTCCTTGCCGATCACCTGCTCCTGGTGGCGTAACCCCTGCTCGAGCAGGTCTTTCTTCCGCTGTAGATCTCCCAATTTCCCGCAAACCAGGGCCAATCCATTCAGCAAGCAACCCAAACCGGTGCGGCTCGCGTCTGGGTCCAGCTCCACAATGCTGATGCAGCGTTCCCACAGCTCTTTTGCCAGTTGCAAATCCCCGCAGCGTCCAGAAATTTCAGCAAGATTGGCCAGACTTGCAACGGACTTGAGGTCATTCGGGCCGAAGTGGGTCTCGCAAAGCTCCACCGCCCGCTCTTGAAACTCCTTCTGCCTGGCAAGGTTGCCCAAACTTCCGTGAACGTTGCCGAGCCGATTCAGGGTCTGGACGATCTCCGGATGATCAGCACCGAATCTCTTCTCCTGGACCTGCAAGCACCTCTCCAAGACTTCCTTGCTCTGGCAGTAGTCGCCAAGGGCTCCACAAGCCTGGCTAAGCAAATGCAGCGTCTGGACGTACTGCTCATGATCGGACTCAGACAGCTCCTTTGCTGATGCATCGGACTCACGCAGAAGGAGGGCGCCAAAACGCTGGGCTCTTTGGGTCTGTCCCGTCTCCAACAAAACGCCCATGAGAATACGACCCTGCTTCAAGGCAAACGGACCACCGTCACTTAGGGTATACGCAACTTCTCGGAGCGGCAGCTCGCACCAGGCCTGATTCTCTTGCTTGCGCACAAGGGACGCCAGCTTCGCGACTTTGTTGATGGCAAAAAGGTCTTCCAACTGCCGTCGGGTTGCATCTGTGCCTCTGCCTTCCAATACTTCCTCCACGTCCTTTTGAACATCCCTCTTCGGCATGCATGCTTGTTTGCACAAGTGCACATCGCACATGAGCTGTCGCCAGTGCACGATCACAAGCTTCTTCTCGTCCTTCACAACGACGTGCACCAGCTCTGGCTTGCGCAAGTAGCCAAACTCCCAGCGGCAAGCTTTCGACCTTGAGTTGCTTTCTTATACACTGTCAGCGCATGACAAGGTGCGCCTGCACAAGACCCCTTCTGCACAGATACTCAGGCCTAGCATGGCGTTGCCTAATGTTGCCTAAATGACGCAAAACTATGCAAAACAATGGGCCCTCAAACGCTTTGAAGCAAGCAGAAAGCGGCCGGGCTGAATTGTAAGTGTGATATCAAGGCGTGCGGCTTCAAGTAGTCCTCCGTAAGTTGCAGGATCAGGATGCCATGTCTGGTCTCCTCGGCAGCCTTGTAGTACTCCTAGGTTGTGGGTGTGACTTTGGGGAGTATCCACAAAAGATGACCTTTATGAGTACAGTATCGCAGTGACCTTTATGGAGAAAGTACAGTATCACAAAGACGGAAAAACCTCCTAAATATCAGGCCAACCGCTTCAAACCACTTGGGAAATTCGCCTGGCTTCCGCTCCTGGTCCAGGATGTCAAACCTGACCACGGCTGGGAGATGGATTTTCTGTTGGGTCCATCATACCAAGACATGTTCTTTAGAAGTCGCTTAGGAACTGGGGGTCCGTTCGACCTTGCTGCTCTCCACCATGGATGTGCACGCCCATCCCAAGGGAACGGTCATGGCAGAAAGACACGGAGCCTTAGCTGAATTTGATTTGCTGCCCTCGCTGCATCTCCGGAAAAAGAAAAACGGAAAACAGGAATGGATCTCTCATCTCTCAATCAATCTGCCTAGAGAACCGGATCCAACCGAAATTCAACTACCTCTGACGTAGAATAGACATGCCCGTCTTCCCTCAAAACATCCGAACACCTGCAGGCCCAATCACGGCGCAAACCCTACACGCAGAGTCGAGCGTCGCTTTCGGCCCTCGAACACAGCAACCCCCTTACCCAGCAGCTCTAGGATCTTGTTGTTGACGTCAGTGTCCGGGGTGGCAAAGGAAAGGAGGAAGTCTGCATCTGAGGCTCTTGTTTCTGCCCTAGTTTCTCCGCGGCCTTGCCATCCGACAGGTTTCCACTTGCGAGTAAGCTTCAACTTGTCCAGCATATCAGCATCCCCTCCTGCCAACTCCTCTGCCTTGTTGCAGTCTTCCTGGGCAGCCTCTGTCATGCCTTCGAGCTCATACGCAATCCCGCGATTGTTGTAGGCCGTCGCATCATTGACGTCCAACTCGATGGCCCGAGTGAAAGCTGCAATCGCTTCACGCCTCTTCCCCTCACGAAGGCGTTCCATGCCCAGTGCGTTGCAGGCATGGGCATCGTGCGAAGCACCATTTTCCCCATCATCACAAGCCTGCACAAGGTGGAACACTCACGTTGACGCATCCGATGGCGGCTTTCTCTCCACCAACTTCTTACGAATGGATCCGGTAATTCTCAAACTCTGGGTTCTCGATTCTCTCTCACATGAACTCTTTCCTGCTTATTTTACTTCAGCCGATCTGGGAATTCTCGGCACGCACACTCGCAAATTGGAATTCTAAGGAGGTCAAGATCTTAAGTTCAACCTCCCAATCGGAGAGTTGGTGCCCCATGTTCGTACTCAAAGTACGAGACATACACAACAAGTACGTTCCTGACGGGAAACATACGCAGCAGTCAACAGGTAATTCAAATCCTTGCAAACTTGTAAGCCAGAACTCAACATCATCGCTCAACAATGTTCGACCGTTGAATGCGCCCCACTTCTCTCCACCAAGGCCACCCCATATGGATCTGACTGCAAAATGTCGTTAGTGTTCCTCCACTTAGGACATCTGCGGGCACCATGAGCCAATCCCGAAGACCCTCCGACTCCACAGCAAAACTCAGCCAGGTACCTTCACCTCTTCCTTGTCGGCGACTTCGCTTTGCTGATCCATCTGGTGCTCATCTTGCTTCTCGCCCGACCACGCCAAATGGCCCAGCCCTTGTTGCAGGTCAGGATGAGTGGAGCTGTGCTCCCGAAGCAGCTGGAGTGCTTGGTTCGTCAGCTCCTTCTCTCGCTGGTGTTGGCCTAACTGGTGGCAAACACCTCCCAAGTTCACAAGCGTTCTTGCGACTTCAAGCGCATTGGAATGCTCCTCCTGAATCTTCAGGGCATGCTCCAGAAAGTGCTGGCTCTTCTGGTGCATTCCGAGCTTACAAAGCACCAACCCACCGCTGTAAAGTGCCTGGGCGACCTGCTGCTGGCTGGTGGCAAGTTGTTGCTGGATGCTTAAACACCGCCCTAGTAACGCCTCGCTTTGCAACTGTAGATCACAGAAGTCCAGGCCAAGATTGCACAAAGCAGGGACCGCTTCGGGCACCACTTCGATGTGTCTGCAGCGAATACGCTCTTCCTGGATCCTCAAGCACCGCTCGAGGACCTCCTTGCTTTCTTGATGTTCGCCAAGGTCCCTCAATGCCACGGCGAGGAGTTTTAAGTATTCAGGGAGGTTTTTCCGGTATTGCAAACCCATCTGCTCCAAAATCGTAACACAAAGTTCCAACAGCTCCTTCCTCTGCTGGAGGTCTCCGCAAACGCTGGCATAAAGTTTTAGGGTCATGAGGCTCCCTGGCTGCGGCTGGTTGAAGAACGAGTGGGCCTCACCAATCTCCACGGCACGTTTTAGCAGTTTCCTTGCCTTCTTGGCGTAGCCATGGTCGAGACTTTGCATGCTCTCAGACTCGGCCAAGTCGAGATAGCATTTGCCTAAACGACCTAGTGGTTCGACAAGTTCTGGATGATCAACGCCGAACCTGTGCTCCTGGGCCTGCAAACGCCTCTCCAGTAGTTCCCTGCACCGACCGTGGTCACCAACGTCTGCGCAAGCATCGGCGTATATACTCAGAATCTTGACCAGTTGCCCATACTCGGACTCATCTGGTTCAGTGCCAGAAGCATCAAACTCTTCCAGCAGCTTGGAACCCAGATCTCGTGTTTTCTCTGCCTCTCCGCGCTCCAGCAGGTGGAACATCGCCAAACGGGTCTTGCGCAGGATCGCAAAAGGTACCTTCGTCTGATCAGTTGATACACTTTAAAGCAACGTGACAGAAGGGAAAGACAGATTGAGTGTTCACTCAAGAAGAACGGCTCATCGGTCAAGCCCTTCCATCCCCTAAACGGGCTGGGACAAAGCTTGCCTTCTCAGCGTCTAGGTCTAAAACAAACTTCGGTGAGAAGCCCGTAGAACTTTGCAAGGGGCGGCTTCCTGGCTTCACGCTCAAAAGTTTCCGAACCTCCTAGCATCCCTGCGTATGCAGCCGACAATCCCCTTGTGCAGACTCCCCTTTTTGATCTCAGCCCCTGCCTTTGCAACCGGAACTTGAAGCGAGGGTGGCGCCATGCAGCCGCTCAGAGATACTTATGGTCTGGTTGTATGTCCGTTCGACTGGCAGGATGCAGTCGTTTTCAAAGGAGAGTGGGGGGGTGCAAGAATAGAAAGCTCATGAAAGGTGTCCTTGACAGGCACATATCTTGCTTTGGGCCTGCTCATATGACGCTATATGTGCACTAATCGTGAAGGCAATGCTGCAGATGATCGCACAAACTTTAAGTTCATTGAAACATGAAATGGGTGTTGATCAGGGTGAAAAGTGGAACTGCTACGTGGGATTCCAATCTGGTTCCCATGATGCTGGGTACCTCGAAACCACCAACATGTCAAGGCCTTCGAACAGGCCAGGTCTGCCTCCACGCCATCGCTGCGTAACGTACCTTTGCGGTCTCCTTGCTCGAGCTGCCTTTGGCTTTTGACCGACGCGTGCAATGAGCAGCTGATCTTTGGTAAGGGAGGCCGGCCGCACGGAAACACTCCCCACTCAGACCGTACATGGAGCACGGAAAAAGTGCGAGCCAGACGACAATCGCATCCGTCTCGTGCCGAACCCCGCTGCAAGACTACTTTCACAAGGGCAAGATTGTTTTTGCAAAGGTATTGCGGTCCTATTCTTTGCGAACATGTGGTTGTCCCCCTTTTGTGCTTGCAGAAGCAGGTCTTCGAATGCTGTAGAATGCTGTAGATTACAGCGGTCTCAAGTTTGGTTTTAGTACGTTTTAGTCTTGGAACGCCTCCAACGCTGCAGCGTTGGAGCATCGGCAGGTCTTCGAACATTTGTCTACAGATCAGAGAATTTGCATGTCTTGGAAAGTTTCACATGCTGTAAATCGCGGTATTTGCGAGTGATGCACGCGAGCTCTGGCAAATGAGCGCCGTGGTCCGCATCCCTGAATGGCGGCTCCGGGACCGGAGCACAGCCAAGGGAGCGGTTTGGGCGGCCTCCAACGCTGATGGCAGGGGCGAGGAACTGGCGAGGAGCCCGATTGAAAGGAGGACGACGAGTTCAATCGTGCGGAGTGAGTCTGCCCAAGACGCCCAATAATTGCAGCAGGAGCGTGTTAACACGTGTACACAACAGGCAAAACTAGTATGTAGAAGCCCGAACACCCCGCTTCCCCCATCTTGCTCAGCGAGGTCAACTCTAAACCCTAAGCCCATAAGCAACCCGAACCCTGCAAGCCCCAAACCGGCCTCCACCTGGAGCCATGCTTACAAGGCCCACGAAACTGGCTTCGGGTTCGGGACTTAAACCTCAGGGCTTCAAGGCGGGAGGAGACACTCTCTGAACGCAGAAGTGGAAGGAGGTTTTCTTTGGGGACCCCAACGCACACTGGACTCGATGGAGGTCGAGACCTACAGCAAGGCGAAGGGGGCCTCCCCAGCAGCAAGGGCATATTGTAAGGCAGGGGTACAGTGGCAACCTGAATGGCGCCTATATGAATAAGTACAGGCCCACCACCGACCGCTTGCCACGCAGCGGTGCATTTTTATTGTCTTATGTCGGGAGCGGTCCTCACGTCGGGCAAATTTTTGGCGAGCTTCAAAAGTGTGTCTTCTCATCAGAAATCGCACAGTTTTTGGCCCTCATTTTGAGGCCAGAAATTGGGTCCCAAAACTGGGTCTGCCTGATTCGAAACTCTTAGAAAAGATCCCATTTCGGGCTTCGCTTTGGGGCCCAAAAATGGGACCCTAGAATGGGCCGTAAAACATGGCAAGTGTGCTTTCAATTTTGCGGAGACACGCAAAGCATGCACCACATGTTTGGGTCGGGCGCAAAGATAGTCAGCGGTCGCTTAAGACTGTTGGCAATAGCGTTATAACGGAACAAGTATTGCACATGACAAGCTGAATTGCAACTGCGGGGGCACTCAAACGTGTCCTACGCTTCTTGTGTCTTTTTGGGGTCTGATTTGGCTTCACTCGAGGCACATTCTCCAAACCCCCAGGCAAAGGGCCTGTCCCAAATCAATAAAATGTTGTTGAAAATCCCCTTTCCCCCATGGCAATGTTGCAACACGTTGGTCATGTCAGACCGACCTTCAGCGTCCAACATTGCCATTGGGGGCTCGGGGGCACACGCAAGGGCTTATGACCGGAGACAAGCATCCTTTTCCAGGCTCTTCAGGCTCCAAGCCCTTGCAATTTCAAGGTAGCTCTCAAGCTCGGGCTGCGCTGCTTACTGCGTTCTGCAGACCCTGCATGTAACACTGCAGCAACCTGCAGACCCTGCAGACCTGCAGCAAGCATGCGGACTCTGCAGCAAGCCTGCAGGCCCTGCAGCAGCCTGCAGCAAGCCTGCAGACCCCTGCAGCAAGCCTACAGCTGCAGGGTTTGTAGGCCCCTCGGCAAGCCTGCAGACCCTGCAGCAGCCTGCAGGCCAGCAGGGCCTGCGGGCCCTGCAGCAAGCCTGCAGACCCCTGCAGCAAGCCTGCAGACCCTACAGACCCAGATCCTGCAGCAAACCTGCAGACCCTGCCGCACGCCGCCCCTACAGACCCTACAGCAAGCCTGCAAAACCTGCTGGCTGCCTCTCCCCCCAGCCTGGATGGCTTCCAGTCCTCAATTACTTGGACATTTTCCTGCTTTCACACGGAGTCCATTTCCCCTTTTAAACACAAAGGCTTGAAGGCCCCAGAGTCTGCAGGAAGCTTGAAAGCCCCTGACCTGTAGAACTGCAAATTAAAAACCAGGTGTCACACATGCTCCGCGCTGTAGGAAAAGCTCGATTTTTCGGCCAGTCTAATTTCATGAAAACTAGTACTACACGCTCCGCGCTGTGGGAAAAGCTGGATTTCGCCTCAGGTGTAATTTCATCAAAACTGGTACTACACGCTCCGCGCTGGGCAAAAACCACAGTGTACTACATGAATGCATAGTTTTTTCAAAACTTTAAGGTTCATGTAATGTTTCTACTTGGAATCAAGGTACTACACGCTGTTTTCCCACATTTTTTGAGTGTAGTACTCGTGCACAGGTCTGCTACACGCGCTTTCTCAAGGGTTATACGGTTTACCAGTCTTTCAAATACTCAAGTAAGGCCTCACAGTCCCCTTCAAGGGCTCCAAAACCTCATCAGGACCTCCCAGAGCCTTTTTTCCAACTTTTGCGGGCTGCCCGTTGGAAAAATCGCTGAAAAACGTGGCATCGCGCGGGTCCACATTCAGGACCGACAAACGACGAGAAACATAGGACGCATCAGAGTACCCCCCCAGTGGCAACCTGAATGGCGCCTATATGAATAAGTACAGGCCCACCACCGACCGCTTGCCACGCAGCGGTGCATTTTTATTGTCTTATGTCGGGAGCGGTCCTCACGTCGGGCAAATTTTTGGCGAGCTTCAAAAGTGTGTCTTCTCATCAGAAATCGCACAGTTTTTGGCCCTCATTTTGAGGCCAGAAATTGGGTCCCAAAACTGGGTCTGCCTGATTCGAAACTCTTAGAAAAGATCCCATTTCGGGCTTCGCTTTGGGGCCCAAAAATGGGACCCTAGAATGGGCCGTAAAACATGGCAAGTGTGCTTTCAATTTTGCGGAGACACGCAAAGCATGCACCACATGTTTGGGTCGGGCGCAAAGATAGTCAGCGGTCGCTTAAGACTGTTGGCAATAGCGTTATAACGGAACAAGTATTGCACATGACAAGCTGAATTGCAACTGCGGGGGCACTCAAACGTGTCCTACGCTTCTTGTGTCTTTTTGGGGTCTGATTTGGCTTCACTCGAGGCACATTCTCCAAACCCCCAGGCAAAGGGCCTACCTTGTCCCAAATCAATAAAATGTTGTTGAAAATCCCCTTTCCCCCATGGCAATGTTGCAACACGTTGGTCATGTCAGACCGACCTTCAGCGTCCAACATTGCCATTGGGGGGCACACGCAAGGGCTTATGACCGGAGACAAGCATCCTTTTCCAGGCTCTTCAGGCTCCAAGCCCTTGCAATTTCAAGGTAGCTCTCAAGCTCGGGCTGCGCTGCTTACTGCGTTCTGCAGACCCTGCATGCAACACTGCAGCAACCTGCAGACCCTGCAGACCTGCAGCAAGCATGCGGACTCTGCAGCAAGCCTGCAGGCCCTGCAGCAGCCTGCAGCAAGCCTGCAGACCCCTGCAGCAAGCCTACAGCTGCAGGGTTTGTAGGCCCCTCGGCAAGCCTGCAGACCCTGCAGCAGCCTGCAGGCCAGCAGGGCCTGCGGGCCCTGCAGCAAGCCTGCAGACCCCTGCAGCAAGCCTGCAGACCCTACAGACCCAGATCCTGCAGCAAACCTGCAGACCCTGCCGCACGCCGCCCCTACAGACCCTACAGCAAGCCTGCAAAACCTGCTGGCTGCCTCTCCCCCCAGCCTGGATGGCTTCCAGTCCTCAATTACTTGGACATTTTCCTGCTTTCACACGGAGTCCATTTCCCCTTTTAAACACAAAGGCTTGAAGGCCCCAGAGTCTGCAGGAAGCTTGAAAGCCCCTGACCTGTAGAACTGCAAATTAAAAACCAGGTGTCACACATGCTCCGCGCTGTAGGAAAAGCTCGATTTTTCGGCCAGTCTAATTTCATGAAAACTAGTACTACACGCTCCGCGCTGTGGGAAAAGCTGGATTTCGCCTCAGGTGTAATTTCATCAAAACTGGTACTACACGCTCCGCGCTGGGCAAAAACCACAGTGTACTACATGAATGCATAGTTTTTTCAAAACTTTAAGGTTCATGTAATGTTTCTACTTGGAATCAAGGTACTACACGCTGTTTTCCCACATTTTTTGAGTGTAGTACTCGTGCACAGGTCTGCTACACGCGCTTTCTCAAGGGTTATACGGTTTACCAGTCTTTCAAATACTCAAGTAAGGCCTCACAGTCCCCTTCAAGGGCTCCAAAACCTCATCAGGACCTCCCAGAGCCTTTTTTCCAACTTTTGCGGGCTGCCCGTTGGAAAAATCGCTGAAAAACGTGGCATCGCGCGGGTCCACATTCAGGACCGACAAACGACGAGAAACATAGGACGCATCAGAGTACCCCCCC